CCATCATATTTTTAAAGCAAATTCCTTTGACTTTTTATAGGTTTAGAATCACATCTTCCTATCTTAATAAATAGGTGTTTTTATTACCTTTTGTGGAACCCAAACAACTGACATGAGAGACTGATTAACTAAATGAATGTACTGAAGAAATGGTGAAATCGGTCGTGCACGAAGTAAGAAAATTGAAAAAAAATAAAAAGAACAGTGTCCTTCTGCACCCCACTTCTTCTCCCCCCATTTTCTTTTGGTTCTTTTAGAGGTTAATTGTAACAATAGCCAAAAACAAAATCCCCAAAATTTAAGTTGATGTATCAACTTAAAAGAAGCTTGAGAGAGTCCAGAAAAGAGCCACTCATATGATTAAAAGCCTGAAGAGCAAGCCATAGGAGGAAAGACTCACAGATTTGGGACTGTTCAACCTAGAAAAGAGAAGTCTTCAGGGGGATTTGGTGGCAGCTTGCAAATATATGAGGGGAGAGCATCAGGGGCTAGGCGAACCACTATTCACCAAAGCATGACACTGGAAAACCAGGACCAACAGTCATAAAGTCCTAGAAGAAGGTTATAAGGAAAAACTTCTTCATGGTCCTTGTGACCAGGCTCTGGATTAGACTCCCAGCGGGGATGGTGCAGGCACCTGCCCTGGAGAGCTTCAAAAGGAGACTGGATGCACACTTTGCTGGGGTTATTGACCCCAGCAGTCTTTCCTGCCCAGAGCAGGGGAGGCTGGATCTGATGATCTCACAAGGTCCGTTCCAGCCCTAAACTTCTGTGAACCTGTGAATCCCTTTAACTTTGCCATTTCCTGACTTGTATACACACCTATAAAATCTCAATGCTTTATTAGGCTACAATCTGACAAGGGATTCTGCAAGTCCAGTGGAAAACAAGGGAACGTGTTAAAAGGAAGCAAATATTTATGTGCTTTGCTATATGATTTTTTGTATGCCTTTTTTTTTTTTATTAACTCTATCATGCCATTAGTATACTCGGTGCTGTACAGACAGATATAAAACAGTGTCTCTGATTTAAAAAGCTTGTAATATGCTGGAAGCCCTCCCCTTGTTCCCATTTTGCAGATGGGAAGGTTCCAGCTGATACTTCTATACCAGTGGTTCTCAACCTTTTTGGATCTGAAGCACTTCTCACTGGACTCAAGGCATCCCTTCTTATGACTTGAGTGGCACCCAGTTTCAAAAACGATGCATTACAATGCTTACCTTTCTGCAGCGGGGCCAGGTAGGGGGTCAATGAGCACAGTCCAGCCTGAGCCTGCAATTATCTGCTTATATCCTCACACCTGGATTATCTTCTCATGCTTTGCAGCACCCTTCAAAGGATCTGGTGGCACCCAAGAGTGCTGTGACAACCTGGTTGAGAATTACTGATCTATGCACATTTAAATGAATAACACATCATTGGAAGAGACTCAGGTGATATTTTCAATGTCCATGATCTGAAAATGAGACAAAGATCTGATAATTCACCACTGGGGTCTTTGTGTGCCCATCCTAGACTCTGGCATCTCTTCATCGTTTAACCCAGGGGCCAGCTTTAAGAAAATGGATGTGAAACTCTATGGCATCCTTGGATACATTTACCTACCTAGTTTCTCTTCTCTCCAGTTTTCTTCTACCTATCTTCTACCACTTCTGTGCTCTCTAACAATCACAACAGTGATTCATTTCTTATACTTATTCATGCTTGTTATTGTTCTTGAGCAGATACTCCAAAGATGGTTGAAATCACTGGGAATCTAAGAGCAAATGCATTTCACAGACATGTAGAAAAGAGCTGTCACTGCCCCAGAGAGCCCAGGATCTTGGTAATGGCAAGATTCAGAATGGGAATGGGACAAACAAGGAACGTGGAGGCAAGGAATGTTAAATTCTTCTCAGTAGTCTGTTAATGTTTGTCTACCATGGCACCCCTCTGGAACATCCTTACCTCCTGAAAGTTAATCATGAACCCACAAGCAGGATTAGCTTGATAAGCAAATTTGCCTGATCCCCCCTGGAGCACAGGTAAAATAAGCCTTATGCTATTTTATTGCAGGATATTGTGTGCCAGTTTGGCTGAATTCTTGCTGCGCTCTATTACCTGATGTTTACTAAGCCAAATTATGAGAGGCATCTCTGTGTGTATGTACCCATCAAATATTAACTGGCCACCAGTTTTATCCAGCACACTAACACCCAACATCAGGCAACAAATTGCTACAAAGCCCTGGAAAATATATTGAAGAATCCAAAGCTACTTCTAGCTAGTGACCTATGGACTGTTCTCTGCCTGTGTTTTTTACTAAGAGAAGACCCATGTTGATTGTGCTACTCACTCACTATACCTCAGGAAGTGTCTACAGTGTTCTGGAGAACAAAACAGCAAACGTCTGTTCCTACAGCAAAGAACTTGTTCTTCATCTCCACACCTGATGGGAAATTATCTGATTTTCAGCTCCCACATCTATTTATAAAGCAAGCTGAACCATGTCAGGTGTGGTTTAGTGAGCTGTGGAAAGAATGACCACCCTTGGGGAATTAGAGGCAGTCTACGTTTTGACTGTGGACAAACTGGGCACATGTATACGTGGTATTTATGCACCTGAATAAGCTTTGGCAGGCTGGCACAGTTTGCACTAGTCAGCTCCACCCAGATGATGCATCTTCGTGTGCACCCAGGACTGCAGCAGTTTGAGCAGTTTGAGCTGAGGTAGTCCCAGGTGCATGTGAAGATTCTGTGCCTAGGAGCAGCTGACCCAGAGCTAAGGGCCTTGGGGGCAGGCCTGGTTGGTGAACTCAGACCGGTGGGGTGGGTGGAATGGCACATGGGATGGGGGAGGAGAGGGAGTTTGCAGCTGGCTGGGGGCGAGGGGGCTTGCACCTCCCACCACTCTGAGTTCAGGACCGCTCCAGGAGGTTTCTGGCTGAGATGCAGGACCTCCACTTGATTCAGGAGGTGCACAGTCCCACCAGGGGAGGTGCCCTGTTGGACCTGGTCCTGGCCGCAGGCGACGACCTGGTAAGGGGCCTCCAAGTTCTTGACCACCTGGGCAATAGTGATCATCGCTTGCTGGAATTCGCCATCCAGCGTAGGGTGTCAAGGGCCCGCAGCAAGGCGGTAGCCCTAGACTTCAGGAGGGCCAACTTCGTTGAGATGAGGAGATTAGTGGGAGAGGCACTGGGGTCCTTGAGGGCAGAGGAACTCAGTGTCCAAGACGAGTGGTCGTTCCTTAAGGAAACGATACTCA